ATCCTGAAAGTCCCATCTTTCTTTTTTCTTCTGATTTTATTTATTTTTTTTATTGCATTTTAGGTTCTGGGGTACATGTGAAGAACATGCAAGATTGTTGCATAGGTACCTAGATGGCAATGTGGTTTGCTGCCTTCATGTCCTTTGTAGGGTCACGGATGAACCTAGAAACCATCATTCTCAGTGAACTGACACAAGAACAGAAAATCAAACACCAAATGTCCTCACTCATAGGTGGGTGTTGAACAATGAGAACACACGGACACAGGGAGGGGAGCATCACACACTGGGGTCTGTCAGGGGGAAATAGAGGAAGGACAGTAGTGGGTGGGGAGTCATGGAGAGAAAGCATGGGGAGAAATGCCAGATTATAGATGATGGTGAGGAAGGCAGCAAACCACATTGCCATCTAGGTACCTATGCAACAATCTTGCATGTTCTTCACATGTACCCCAGAACCTAAAATGCAATAAAAAAATAAATAAAATCAGAAGAAAAAAGAAAGATGGGACTTTCAGGATAGGACTGGTGGCTTCGTAAGAAGGGGAAGAGAGAGACCTGATCCTTTCCTCTCTCTGCCCATGTGCTGCTTTCAGCCAGGTTACAGCTCAGCAAGAAGGCCTTTACCAGATGCAGCCCTTTGATCTTGGACTTCACAGCCTCCAAAACTATAATAAATACATTTATTTTATTTATAAATAAGTAAAAAGAAGACTGAGCAGACAGGTCTTGCTGGGTTTCCCCATTCAGTCTATTCACTTCAGTGCATATCCTTTTTACCAATCACATTTCTATATGGCTGTCCCTGCTTCATAGAACCTAAACATAAAAATAGTTATTGTTTTTTCTTTTGATAGTTTTGGGTCTTCATTCTGGTTTTATATTATATGTCATGTAAAACTATGATCAAATAAAGTTGTTGGGCTTTTCTCAAACGGAAGGGAGTGGGAGGAAGGATCCATTCTCTCTTCCTCTGTATAGAGATAGGGGTCTCACTGTATTATCCAGGCTGGTAGTAAACTCATAGGCTCAAGTGATCCCACCTCACCTTCCTAAAGTGCTGGGATTACAGTTGTGAGCCACTATGCCCAACCAGATCCATTACTTCTGATGAGAATCTGTACCCTAATATAAACAAACTGTATGAGTAAAATATATACAGGATTTCAAAAACTGAGCAGCAAAAATTCATGTAAAATATTGCAATTTTTATATAAATTATATATTGAAATAAAAATATTGTGGATATACTGAATTAATAAAATGAACTACATTATCACATTTTTGTTTGTTTTATATTTCAATACATGGCTACACTAGAAAATAATTTAAAATAAGAGATAGGGTTTGCATTGGACTTCTACTAGAAAGTGCTGCCCTAGATAAGAAAAAATTCTACTGGAAAGCCCTCTTTGTCTTTGAAAATGGAGTGTTGTCACTGCATGTTATTATCAACGCTGTGGAAAGAACACAGCCTAATCTCTCCCCAGGTCTCTGTGCACCTTTCTAACACCTCCTCGTATCAGGCAATGTGGTGGGCAAGGCAAATACAGGACTGAGAAGAAGAAGACAGTGTGTTTCATTATCAGTAATGACAAAAAAGAAACAGAAACAAATCAACCAACACAAAATAACTCAAAAGCAAAACAAATACACAGACCAGAACATAAATCTGCGAAGCACATGAGAGAAAATGCCAGGACAGAGAAGGGGAAAGATCCATTCATTCAACCACAGAAACATCTCTCCCACCATTGTCTTCTTAGAACTAAGAGAGAGTCTAGTCTGGGCCCAGTAGTTCATGTCTGTAATCTCAGCACTTAGGGAAGCTGAGGTGGGGGGGGATTCCTTGAGCCCAAAAGTCCAAGATCAGCCTGGGCAACATAGTGAGAACCTATTTCTAGTTATTAAAAAGTTAAAATAATAGGCCAGGCACAGTGGTGGCTCATGACTGTAATCCCAGCACTTTGGGAGCCTGGCGAATAGACCATGAGGTCAAAAATTCGAGACCAGTCTGGCCAATATGGTGAAACCGCATCTCTACTCAAATAATACAAAAATTAGCCATATGTGATGGCAGTCACCTTTAGTTCCAGCTACTTGGGAGGCTGAGGCAGGCGAGTTGCTTGAACCTGGGAGGTGGAGGCTGCAGTGAGCCAAGATTGTACCACTACACTCCAGCTTGGGAGACAGAGCTCGATTCTGCCTCTCAATAAATAAAGGAAACAATTCTTAGTAATTTAACAACTCTCCAGTGCTGAAAATTTTAAATTAAAAAACAGAATTCGCCAGCCACAGTGTCATATACCTCTAATCCAAGTGCTTTCAGAAGCTGAGGCAGGCGTATGTCTTTCGGCCAAGAGTTCAAGACCAGACTAGACAATATAGTAAGCTCATGTCTCTAAGATTAAAAATATAAAATAACTAAAAATAAATATAAAAAGTTAGCCTGGAATGCTGGCATACACCTGTAGTCCTACCTACTTGGGAGGCTAAGGAGTGAGGATTGCTTGAGCCCAGGAGTTTGAGGCTGCAGTGAGCCAAGATTGCTCCACTGCACTTTAGCCCGG